TTCCAAATCCCAGTTTACATGTAGCAATATACCTACAAAGCTAAAATCTATGTTAATTTACCTATTGAACTTTCTGATGCACTCGGGTCAGAGTCGTCCTTAAAACCCAATTCCAGTCACCTGGTTTAGTCTACAACCACTCAAATATGGTACTGTTGTTTTAGTTGCTGCCCCTGATTTTGTCAAATTTTCTGGTGTTTTAGCTACAATATTGTAATTAGTATCTATGAACCTGTACCAATAACTTGAGAATGAAGTACTAATTAAAGGAAAAGGAGAAAAATTAAAAAAAAAAAAAAAGAATAGCTTAATTTATTAGAAAGATAGCTAAATAGAGAGAAGATATGGAATGAAGGGCAATTGATGGGGGATTATTGCAGTTGTCCAGGGGAGTGATGCTGGTGGGCTAGATTAAGACAGTGGCAGGAAGGATTGAAAGGAGGGGCTAGTTCTAGGAATCTAGAAACAGAACAGGATTTGGTGACGATGAAATAGAAGGAAGGACGATAAAGTGAAATAAGACCAACAGGTTTGTAATGAGGCTTGTATATGATAACATGTAAAAGCATTCTATAAACTACAAACTATAAAACATTATACAACAGTTGATTAGTTTTATTATATTCACCAGTTGCTCTTAGTTTAGACAAAGAAATAGGACATACTTTTAATTTCTTTTTTTTAAAATTTTTTATTGTGATTTGGGTGAAAGTTTTCAGAGCAAGTTCATTTTCCATACAGCAGTTCATACGCATTTTGTCTCATGATATTGACTACAATTCCATACAATGTAACAGCTCTCTTTGCACTTTTTCCTTGTAGTTACTGCTTTCCTGTGTTCTTCCCCTCCATGCACTCTCACCTTCTGAGGTGTCTCCCTGTGCAAACACTGCCCTTATTTACTCCCATGATTGATCACCCCAAGGAATGTATCTACCTGATGTAAATGTTCACCACATATGCCTGTTTGTTATTTGGCTGGAAGCCACAGGAGTGAGTTCAATTCCAGACCTGAAGGGTAGCCATGGGTCATAGTCTTAGGGCTCTCACCAGGCTCTATCAGATCAGCGGACCTGGTCTTTTTTTTTTTTTAATGATTTTGAGTTTTGTTCAACCGTGTTCTCTCACTCTATCCGGGATCTCCTGCACCGACCCCCTTCCGAGTGCTTGACAGTGGAGCCAGGTACCATCTAGTACTTCTGGTGTCATAGTCATATAGGCTGAGGATCACATGGTCTACTAGTTCCTTGGACTAACTGTTTACACCTGTCTTTGGTTTTCTTCATTCTTCTAAGAAAGAGGATGTTCTTTTAGAAATATGTTCATATTCAAGAAAGATATCTAACTTCCAATTATTGCTACTGTTAGGTGCTACTGAGTCAGCACCGACTCATAGAGACCCTATGTGTGACAGAAACACTGAACACAGCACATGTAAATCATAAAGTAAGAGGAATTAAAATCTTACAAGCTTCCTTCAAAATCATCTAGTCTACTCTTTTACAGAGGAGACAACTGTGACCATAAGAGATCAAGTTCCTTATTCAAGGTCATAATTTTTTAGTGGAAAAAGCTCTGTCTCACAATATTGTTGTTGCTAGGTGCATTGAATTGGTTCCAACTCATATGATCTATGCACAACAGATCCTATGTACGAGTGACCCTATGTACAACAGAATGAAACACTCTCTTGTCTTGCACCATCCTCACAATCGTTGCTATGTTTGGGTTCATTGTTGCAGCCACTGTGTCAATCCTTTAGTTGAAGGTCTTCCTCTTTTTCATTGATCTTCTACCAGCATAATGTCCTTCTTCAGGGACTGGTCTCTCCTGATAAGAGGTCCAAAGTACATGAGACAAAGTCTCACCATCCTTGCTTCTAAACAGGACTGTACTCCTCCTAGGACAGATTTGTTTCTTTTTCTGGTAGTCCATGGTATATTCTATACATATGTGCATGTGTATGAGTGTGTGTTTTTCCTTTTCTTAAAAAACTGTATCGTGTCACTCAAGTTATGGCAGTGTACCTAGTGCCACTGAATTTCCAAAGTGTACTGAATTTTTTTGTGTTTCAAATAAATAGAAAAAATAGTTATAATACTGAAAAACAACGAAACAAAGTGTATATATATTTTTGCCAACTGTGGGGAATGAGTCTCTGGAGAAGGCTATCATGCTTGGTAAAGATGTTGTTGTTATGTGCCCTCTAGTCAGATCTGACTCATAGTGACCCCTGCTTGGGTTGCTGAGGCGGTATCACTACGCAAGTAGATTGCCCAACCTTCCTTCCAAAGACTGGCTGGTGGGTTTGAACCACCAGCCTTCCACCAGCCTTCTGGTTAGCAGTCAAGTGTCTTAGGCACTATGCTACCAGAGCCCCCTTGGTAAAGATGTTGTTGTTGTTCTTGTTATGTGCCCTCGAGTCAGACCGACTCATAGCGACCCCTCCTTGGGTTTCCGAGGCAGTATCACTACAAAAGCAGATTGCCGATGACCCGCAAGGATTGACACAGTGGCTGTAACAATGGGCTCAAGTGTAGTTATGATTGTGAGGATGGAACAGGATCAGCAGTGCTTTGTTCTGTTGTATATAGTGTTGGTGTGAGTCTGACTACACAGCACCTAACAATAAGAAGATTGAGCAAGGGGCAAGTAAAGGCGATTTTTATCAAACATGGAGACGAAAAGAAGGCACTTTAGTGATTTTCTTAGCACTCCTTAGCCTTCTCCTGTAACCAGGCAACGTGTAACTACGGAGCCACGCCCATTTCTCCTTTCAGCCCTGCCCATCTTTTCCTTCTCAATAGGCAGTCACCGCTCTCTTTGACGTCATCACTGTGCGTCGCTACCGCTCTCGTCAGAGCCTAGACCACGTGTACTGTGTTGATTGTCAAAGTCTCAGAAAGTCCAAATCCCGGAAGCGGTGAGTTCTGGGATAAGTTTCTGTACCTGAGTGCCCCCCACTCCACGAATCTCCAACCATGAGCGCCTCAGGCGTGCTATCCTTTGCCCAGCAAGGTTGGGAACAGGTGCTAGCCAAAATGAAACGGGCTGTCGTCTACCTGGACGCCGCCTGCGCCGAGAGCCTGCACTGGAGCTGCGGATTCACACGACTACTGGAGTCAGTGGGGGGTCCTGCGTGTCACCTGCGGGAGTTCGGGCCCGATGCAACTGGCGGAGGAGCGGAGCAGCCCAAGGCAGTGTTTGTGCTGAGCTGCCTGCTGAAAGGCCGAACGGTGGAGACTCTACGGGACATCATCCGCCGCAGTCAGTTCCAGTATTGTGTGGTGGTCACGGCTGTGAGCCACGCTGTCCACCTCACGGCTAATCATGTGCCGGCGGCGGCAGCAGCCGAGCTGGAGGGGCAGCAGCCGGTGTTCGAGCAGCTGGAGGAGAAACTGTGTGAGTGGATGGGCAACATGAACTACACAGCCGAGGTGCTGCACGCCCCCTTGTTGCTCGCCCCTGTTGCTCCTCACTTTGCCCTGACTCCATCCTTTGCTTCCCTTTTCCCACTGCTACCCCAAGATATACATCTCCTTAACAATGCCCGACCTGACAAGAAGAGGCTGGGAAGCCTAGCTGAAGTGGATGCCTCTGCCCTGACCCCTGAGCTGCTGCTACAGATCAGGTGCTTGGTGTCAGGCCTCAGTTCTCTGTGTGAACACTTGGGAGTACGGGAGGAGTGTTTTGCCGTGGGCTCGCTCAGTCGGATTATTGCTGCAGATCTGGCCAATTATGCCCCTGCCAAGAACAGGAGAAAAAATGCCTCAGGCAGGGCATCAGTGGTCTTTGTGGACAGAACTCTGGATCTCACAGGTAAGTGGCATTGCCATAAAGTACTTCATAATTACTATTTCAAGGTATTAGAACTTTCATTGAGTCAGCATATATTTTGCTGGATTCTTACTATATGTCAAGTTGAGGATACAAAGATGAACAGGCTCTGATATCACAGATCTTATAGTCTAGAGGAGGATGAAGACAAAATCAGCAATTACAATACAATTTATTAAACGTTGTATTGGGTAATTGTTTCCTCAGTGTGCACTGCCTTATTTAAAACAACAAAAACAAAATCGGCAAGAAGTGCATCTAATCCAAGACATCCAGGAGAGCTGTCCACCTTAAAATCTTTTAGAAATTTGCAAATGCCAATATTTCCAACAATTATTTGTAAGAAAGCTCTTATTTGTTAGAGAGGTATTATCAGTTGACACCCAGTGGAAGTAAAGCTGCACAACAAACATGAAATTATCATAGACAGTTAGTTGATTATTTTTGTCAGTTGGTATTTGATCTATTCTAATTTACAATCAGGTGTGCAGAGTAGAACTGATGCATAGGGTGTTCAAGTCTGTGACTTTTTAGAAGCAGATCATCAGGCCTGTTTTCTGAGACATCTCTGTTTGGGTTTGAACCACCAAACTTTCTGCTAGTAGTATAGCACTTAATTGCGCCACCCTGAGACTCTAGTTGATTATTAGATTTCTTTAAATGAGTGTTAAAAAAAGAGTTTGGCTGAAGTTAAATATCACCAGTAAATGAGACTAAATAGAATTGTAGAAAACATTTTCAAACGTTCATTGATACAGTCTCACCTCTGCGTCTATTGAAGATTGGTTAGATAATCTCAATTAAATTATAATACTATATTAATTATTTATATATACAAGGAACAGATGTAACCCTTAAAATAGGCGAAGGAAATAATTGACAATGTGGTACTTGACATGTGCATTTATTTTTGAATAGGTAGATATAATGCTGCTAGTGGGTTCAAACTGCTGACCTTTTGGTTAGGAGCCAAGTGCCTTAACTACTGCAGCACTAGAGCTCTAAGACTTGCGTTAAGCAAACCTTAATCACAGCAGCAGCTCCTTTATGTCTTTGGCATCTCTTTAAAGAGATACCTCTTTTCTGCATATAAAACAAATAGGATGAGCATAACCTCTTCCCTCTAAAAGCTTACAATATAAAGCAGTCTAGATTTATTAGGGAACGCTGGTGGCATAGTGCCTGAGGCATTTGACTGCTAACCAGAGTGTTGGCAGTTCAAACCCACCAGCCACTCCTCAGAAGGAAGGTTGGGTGATCTTCTTCCTAGTGATGTTGTTGTTGTTGTTATGTGCCGTTGAGTCGGCCCGACTCATAGCGACCCCTCCTTGGGTTTCCAAGGCAGTATCACTACGGAAGTAGGATTGCCCAACCTCGCCTTGGAAACCCAAGGAAGGGTCGCTGTGAGTCAGATCTGAGTCATGGCAGTGGGTTTTTAGGTTTAGAGTTATTTAGGAAGTAGGGCACATAGGAAGAGCAAAGGAGCTCTGGTAGCATAGTGCCTAAGGCACTTGACTGCTAACCAGAAGGCTGGCGGTTCAAACCCACCAGCCACTCCTCAGAAGGAAGATGGGGCACTCTACTTCCCTAGTGATACTGCCTCGGAAACCCAAGGAGGGGTCGCTATGAGTCGGGTCCGACTCGACGGCACATAACAACAACAGGAAGAGCAAATTTGCTATTTAGCAGCAGTAATTTCACGTTTTCTCTCCTCAAGCTTCCAGTCCTCCTCCTCCTTACTCACTCTCAGATTTCTTGCTTCTTATGTCACTGAGGAAATCAGAAAGTAACTTCCATATCCTTCCTTTACCACATCTACCAACCTTTCCATATACTTCCACATTTTTTTTCCCTCCTTCATATCAAGCTGCTATTGAAATCCAACTTTTTCACCTACGCAGACTAGATCTTTCTTGTTCCAATTACCTTCTAGATTTCCCTATTTTAAATGACCTCTACGTTTCCTAGATCGTTATTTTTTTCCTCCTTTTCTACAGGATTTTTCCCATCAACATAAAAACATGACAGAACACATGCATCCTTTCTTGATCCTTCCTCATATTTCTCCAACTTTCTCATTTTTTTTTCTTTTTTATACCAAACTTGAAAGAGTTATCTGTACTTGCTACCTCATATTCATCTCCTGGCATTTTCTCTTTCAAGAAATCTTTTGTTGTAGTAAAATACGTTATTGTTAGGTGCTTTTGAGTCAGTTTTGACTCAGTGACCCATATAGAATAAAACGAAACACTGCTCAGCCCTGTGCAATCTTCACAGTCATTTCTAGGTTTGAGCCTGTTGTTGCAGCCACTGTGTCAACCGATTGCATTGAGGATCTTCCCCTTTTCCAATAACCATCTACTTTACCTGGCATGATATCCTTCTCCAGGAGACTGGGCCTTTCTGATAATGTGACCAAATAATGTGAGATGAAGATTAGCCATTACTCTTCTAATGAGCATTCCAGCTGTCCTTGCTCCAAGAAAGTTTTGCTCATTCTTCTAGTAGTCCATGATACATTCAATATTTAACACAACAATTGAAAGCATTTATTCTTCTGTGATGTTGTTTACTCATTGTTCAGCTCTCATATGCATATGAGAAGATTGGAAATACTATGGCTTGGGCCAGGCTCACCTTAGTCTTCAAAGTGACATCTTTACTCTTTAACCTTTTTTTTTTTTTTTAAATTAAAGGTTGGGGTCCTGATGTATTCTTTTTTTTAATTGTGATTTGGGTGAAGGGTTACAGAGCAAATTCACTTTCCATACAGCGGTTCACATATACTTTGTCTCATGATATTGACCACAGTTTACCACAATGCAACAGCTCCCCTTCCACTTCCTCCCCATAGTTACCTCTTCCCTGTGTCCATTCCT